CGTGTCGTCGTCGTGTCGTCTGTGTGTGTGTGTCTGTGTGTGTGTGTGTGTGTGTGTGTGTGTGTGTGTGTGTGTGTGTGTGTGTGTGTGTGTGTGTGTGTTTATATGTTTACTTCTATGTTATTTGTTGTTATTTTTCTGTACATACCGTGTTTAACATGCACAATTTTCTTCTGCAGGAGCAATACCAGAAAGAACAGAAGAAGCTGAAGCAGGAGTGGGAGAAAGCTCAGCTGGAGGTGCAGGAGGAGGAGAGAAAACACAACGAAGAGGTAAAATCACCGACTGCTTTTGTGTGTCCTTCCTAGTGTTGTTATGATTCTAGTATTTCTCACGCAGAACCCTTGAGAAGTATCGGTACTTGATACCATTTTCAATACTATGTTAAAAAAAAATGCACACAACATTTAGGGCATTACAAAGCCTCCGACATTGTAACTGATCAAAAGGCATTGAAGTGAAAGTGAAAATGTTATATAATGTTATATTAAACTGGAGCGGATTAGAACAGTGACGAGAAGAGAGCACTGAGGGAGTGAGAGGAGGCGGAGGTACGTGGGCAGTGCAGCGATGTGTGTTAACTCGTTGAGAGAACAGAGAGAAAGAAAGTGCAGCTGGTTCTGCATGTAACCATGGAGCGGAAAATAAATGTTGATCAAATATTTCAGAGTGACCTCACACTAAAAACAAACAACTAACTCAAACCCTACTGCGGCACAAACTAGCTAATTGCATGCAGAATAAAGTCCATTGTCCAGGCAATCATTTAGTTTGTGAGTTTATTTTCTTAGGTTACAACGATCATACAGCACAAAGAACAACGGCTATTACGTACTCTCTTGAACTAAAACTACACAAAACAGCAAGAAAAGAAAAGTGTAACAATTAAATATAACAAAACAATGAAAAGTTAAAAAAGTGGCCTTACATGATGTGTCTATATTTATTTGTGTACATCTTTCAGGAGAGAAAGATCCTAGAGGAGACGGTGACACCATTAAGTCCCACCGGCTTGTTAAACCAGCAGCCGGTCCAGACAGGGACGACTTCATCAGCGACAGAAAACAACGCGGCAGAAGGAGGAAACGTTCCTCCACAGCAAAACGGCCAAAGAAGGGAAGCGACCGACGACCAGCATGAATCCAAGCTGCATTTTTTCCAGGGTGAGGAAAATGCAGGAGGTGTCCACATGTGTGTGCCTGCACAACAACTTCAACCATGTGTTCCTCAGAGTTTCTTTGATGAAGTTTATTTTTATGATTTATTTGTGTAGATTCTCCATGTGATGGCGAGCCTTCAAAGAAACAGGAACTGTGGAAGACGGCCTCTCTGGACCGCAAACCTCAACTAAACCAGTCACAGTTTGTTAAAAGGTACGATAGGATGCTTTTGTGCACTTTTTTTTAGATTGCTTCATGATTATCCTAAATATATTTCAAGTTGTTGTTTCCTTTCTGTGTGTTTCTTATTTCACATTTAACAAATGGATTAATACGTTTTATATGACATTGAATCTTGGAAGAATTTACTGTAAAGATGTGCCCAAATCTCTTGTTAGTTAAAAAGGTCTGAATAATTTAAATGATATTATGTATAAATATTACCCCTGAAATGTGTTTTTAACATATTACAGATGTTTTAAATGTGTATTTATGTAATGTTTGTTTTCACCACAGGTCTGAATCACATGATGCTGTAACAAGCAAACCGCAGCCTCCCCCCACATCACCTCAGCCCCCCTCACCCACCAGGTAAATACGCATGAACACTTAAACACAACAACATGTCTGAAAGAAATGAAGCTGCAGTGTTTAATGGTATCCGTTAATGTCTGTTTTCCTGCTGCTGTCTGTGTGTAGGTGTGTGAGTGGGAGGAGACTCTGTTCTGGTTGTTCTCAACCGCTGGGCAAAGGAGCCGCCATGATCATCGATACACTCGGGCTGTTTTTCCACGTACAGTGTTTTAAGGTACTGAGTTATTCTACCATTTTTAAAAGTCAGAAATGTTTCGCAGTGCAAACACATTTCCGGATTACATCTTTCTCTTTTCTGTAGAATTGTAAAAGTTAACTGTTTTTGTGTATTTCTCTCCCTCAGTGTGCAGTGTGTGAAGGCCAGCTGGGTGACGCCACTGTAGGAACTGATGTCCGTATTCGTAACGGACTGCTGAGCTGTCATGAGTGCTATATCGCATCTCGAGGTGAGGACACATGCCCAAAAACAAAAAGACACACCTAGACTGGCACACATTCTTATATCGTCTTTAATTAGCCCTGAGAAACATAATTTTAAGCAACTTTTTACTTAACCAAACATAGTTCAGAACATAGTTGATCCTGATTTTGGTCACATTCCTACCATCTGTTTTCTAAAGTCATGCATCTTTTTTCTGATTTCTGACTTAACTTACAGTAGGTCTCTTCTCTTAAGCTTTATATTTGTGAGCCCTCTAACACTTATTCTCTATTCTAAAACTAATGGTCAAGTCTTTTAATTATAAAAATAATAATAATTTAAACTAACTCTATTTAAAATGAGGTCAGAGGATATCAATTTGGCAATGTTTTACAAAGTGGCTCCAAAAGGGAATAAGATCACAAATTGTTATTAAAAAAACATATTTATAAAAGTATGAGAGCAGACTTTAACACTTTTCCATGATGTTTGTATGCAGGCAGAGGTCAGCCCACCACACTATGATGACCTGGATGTGACCTGGAACCCCTCACTATCCCTGTCAGTGATTGGCTGGAGAAGAATTTTCTCATTTTGGACCTTCTGGAATACTCCTGAAATGCACAAACAGCTTTATGGATGTCACTGAGAGCAAAAACTGGACTGACATATGGACTGGGTTACAAAACCTCACACACACACACACACACACACACACACACACACACACACACACACAGTACAGTACAACGTGTGTGATTAATAACTACACACATGTATACACTTTACTTAATATGTGTAGCATGGATGTAATCAAGAAATCAGTGTATTTAGACATGAAGCACATCCGTACATAGCACAGTTAAGATATGGCATTACATTTGTCCATCATTCCTAAAGCCAGCAAGGGGAGATTTGCAGCACAGAAATACATAAAGCATATCAACTATATTTTGAAAACAAATTATATGAAATAATAAGTTATTTCCTTAGGTTTCATTTCATCTCCAATCACAATGCTTCCGTAAGAATAAGATAGGGAGGGAATTTACATTTCAAGCCAGCAGCCATGACATCATCGAATTATGAAAACAGCAAGTGAGTGAGTTATCATTGCACGTTTATATGGATAAAAGAAGACATGCTAATTCATTTATAGAGCAAATAATAGATGGTAAAAATAACTCTGATATAATTTTCCTTTCAAATATATTTTTCATTGCTCTAAATCTCCAAGTGCTCGACCAGAAATGAGGCACAAACTGCATTTATAGACGCTAACATAAGCTCACATGTGATGCTAGAAGCTGAACCACCACCACATAGTCTCAAATTCCTGATTCATCAACTCTGCTTCTCCACTGATCAAGTGACTGGATTACCTGAAGTAGCTTGACCATTATAATGCCTTACTCATCATAATACTTTCTCATTCTTTTTTGTGTTTTGTGTTTACAGTTTTGCATGAAAGAAGAACATTATATAAGTTATTGCTCAGATGGAGTAGTGTGAGTTTGACATTGTTATCATCTCAACAGCTAAACTTTGACTTTCCTCTTGTATGTTGTACATCACCATGATATTTTTTAATTGCTTTGGGAATCTGGCAAACTTACACTACCATTTTTCTCTTTATAATTAATTTTACAGGAATGAGAATGCATGTTAATAATTATATAATTGTTGTTCTTTGGATTTTTAAATATTTTCCCTTTAGGATGTTTTAGCCATTGTTTATTCTCATAGACTGTCTGCATCTGAATCAGTGCCTTATGTAATGAATGCGAGGGTTTGGGTATGTGCCAGAGTGATTCACACTCACACCGACCACTTGGTCTCAGCACATTGTGTGTGTGTGTGTGTGTGTGTGTGTGTGTGTGTGTGTGTGTGTGTGTGTGTGTGTGTGTGTGTGTGAAATAATGCATGTATAGATTTGAATGTGATACCAGCAAAAAACATTTTAAAAGGATCTCCCTATCACCTGCTGTTCTTTTCCATATCCTCCCATGAGCTAAACCAATGACACAAAGTGATTTGCTGCTTCCCTGTTAATAATTCTCCTGTATAATGACAGTTTCACAAAGCCCTATAATCTCTCCTCATCTGCCTCTATCACAAGTGTTGCCTGCCCAGAGTCTGAGCTGAACGCCTCTCTCCTCTGTGTGTCTCTGAACAGCTGACAGCGTCTTCGTCACTCAGAGGAAGACAGCGCTCAGTTCTTTTATAGCAAGTGTATGTTTATCAATAAAATATTTTAAATGGGATGCTGTCTGTCTTCTTTTCCCTGTCTAACTGCACTTTAATAAAGACACCATGGTGAAGTAGGTTAGTGATGACCTACCGGTATGTTCTACTCCCTGAGGCTGTGACTCCGGAAACACTGGTTGGATAGAAGTACTAATGTTTCCTTGCAATAGTGTAAGAAACAGTTGAAGTCTCTTGGATTTAATATTGAGGGATTAACATAGTTTATTTTTACCATAGTGGATCTCCTATTATATAAGTGATGTGCCTAATCTCTTTCTTTCTTTTTCTTTTTTTTGTTAATCTTCTATGGACTAATCTTGTGCTATTAAGGTTTGTATGTTTGCTTCTTGAGATAGATCAAAAGCAAGTAAAACAAAAACGATATACCTCATTGAATTACAATATGCAGGATATAAGCACAACATTTAAACACCATTTTGGAGACAGGGCAGAAGGACCCAACTTGGTGATCTGTCATCCTCAACATTTTTTCCATCAAATTAGCAAAAAACTATTGAAGCCCAGTAAGCATTGAGCTTTTGAGGCACCAAGGCAGTTCGCTGCACTGCCTGGCTGGTAAACCATGTTTTTCAAACACTGCCCACAATGACCATCAATTTGAATAAAATAAACATCTGGCAAAATCTCAAATTCTTCAACAATTACAGTGTAAACGAGATAGTAATTATTGTGAACAATCAAAGCCTGTGATATATGGCCAATGGGGATGAACCCCATTTGTTTAATTTACCCGTTAAAGTTAAGACATGACTGATAGAAGACAAAGGGACATTTTAAATACTAAAATTGCTATAATTTGTATTATTAGTGTTTTCTTAAGGCATTGTTTGGCATTTGAGAAAGTTCTAAAAGAAAAGTAATGGATAAGATAACCTTGGACAGTATAAATTGCTGTTTAATGATAAATGTAATGGATAAGTAATTCAATAAAAAACATGCTTGTGATAAAATATGTGTCATATTTAAATCGTCTGGCTGCCAAAAAAGATAGCAATTATTATATTTGTGTTGCATAGGATTGCAGGACAATGTTTTTTGATGTATCTGCTGGTGTTTATGAACAGCAGAAATCAGGCATTTTATTGAAATTGCGGTATGTATTGTGCCAGGAACCAAAGTTCAACGCAGAACGGAAACATAAAATAAGGGGACCGGAAGTCTACTAATATTTTACCACCCCTTTTTTAGCATGTAAGCTAATGTCAGTTTGGTGTTGTTTTGTCTTTTCTTCTTTATAGACGCGGAACATCACAACAAAATGGACTCACGGGGACCCGCACTTTACGCAGTATGTACTGGTTTATTTACGGTAACGGGTTGCTAGATCAACGGCTAGCTTGTTCTGTAAAGAGTTAGCTTGTGTTAGCTAGCCAGTAAGCTAAAAACATCAAAACAAACGACTGTCATCTCTCAAAAATGATCACATAGCAGTACTTTAACTGTAAACACATGTACCATCCAGTAAAACCGACATGTGGTCAGTTATCTAGTGGTTTCTCAGCTGTTTCCTGTTTTCAGGGCGAAAGTCAGATTTTTGTGCAGATTTTAGATTAATCATAACAACATTTTTGGTTTCGATTATCTTGCAGGCCAGAAGAGTCATCCACAGTTTTCCAATCAAAATGACCATATATTATTCCTCAATTTATGGAATAATGACAACCTTGTAGATTTGAGTTAGAACATTATTTTTTATGCTAGATACATTCTTTATTTACATTTTTACTTTAATTATTGTTTCGGCGTTTCTGAGCTAACACACTGTACATAACTCTCTGACGTCCCCTCTAAATGACTTGAGATTTCTACGTATTTTCCCTCTTATTGTATCCGGTTCCTACCTATTTATCTGTTTCTATTGTTGTTTTGATACCATAGCGACGTACTTTTACTAGAGGGTTTCTATTTGTGTGCTAATTATATTTATATTCCACTACCATTCAAAGTAAATAGTATATCTCTTACTCCACTACATCTACTTACTTTGCAGATTTAGAATAATACAACACGAATCTACAAATAAATTATGATGCAACATTAAAGAACAGTACTTAAGTCATTAAATAATTTCCACCTTTACCAGCTGCAACATAGGTTCACCTTATATATGGAAACATGCAGTTGTATCATTTTTGGTATATAAATATATGAATATCTTATTTTTTGCAGTTAAATCACCTTTTCTATAACTATAAATAGACCTACTGTCTAACTTAATGATATGGTGTTTGCTTTAGCCGGCAGGCTCCTCGGTAGATCTATCCCGCAGCACAGAGGAGGACTCTCTGGTGGACGGACCTCTGATCCCTGCAGACGCCCTCCACTCCGCCATCAGGAGAAACTTTCAGAGCGTACCAACACCTGGTCATGCAGGCCTGCTCTCTGTGCTGCATGTAAGTTACACACACATTCACACACAAACATACACAGGCCTTAATGTTGTCGATGTCATTTACATTGTGTATACGTGACATGTGTTTGAATGAGAGTGATGGGTTCAATAGGGACAGTTTTTACTTTGGGGTCTGAGTGTCTGTGTGTTCGCTAGTTGTTGTAGATGCACTTTTCAAGTAAGACTAATTGCTGAATATGAAGGATATAGCATGTGAATGAAAGTGTTTATCCAATATACCTTTTTAATCTGGATATTTGTAGTGACTTTATTTTTGTATGTGTATCAATAGTCACCATATGTTCTTGCTCTCTTCTTTGTTTCAGGTTGTGTACGTGGTGTTGTCAATGTGTGTGGCGGTGCTGTGTGTGTTGGAGTTTGGTCAAAAGGATGTGTGTAATAATATATTGGGTAACGTGCGAGGCGACAGTGTCATTGTGTTTGGGAAGGTGTGTTTATGGGTGCTGGTGCTGTTGTTCACTGGGTGTGTGCAGCACCACCACAACCAGGCCCGCAGCAGAGGGTACCTGCGCTTCTACAGACAGACGCAGGGCCTGAAGCACCTGCCGCTCACCGTACACTCTGCAGGTACAGACACAACACACACAAGTTTGTTCTTAAACTTGATTTTGATAAAGATATATCTGATTCATGACGTCCGTTAAATTGCAGATTTGTTCGTACCTGTGTCCTTGTAATGATCAAACCCATTCTCTTTGTAAATAAACAGCATATGATAGTTCCTTATTAGTGTGTCATAAAAGGGCATGAGACTGCAGGGCTGTGCACAAAGACATTGTAAGGAAAGTTGAGGGACTGATTGCCCAAAAGAAAGACATAAACAAAACCTGTTGTGGTAAAAAAGTAAACCAAACTAGCTTACATATCTAGTAGTTTGGTGGTGGACACATTATAATACAAAAAGACAGAAAAAGTATTTGTGAAGTGTTGACTTATTTAAAAGACCAAAAATGTTGATAGATATAAAAAATTATAAATGATGAAAATATGTGTTTTAAAAGTGTTTTAACTAGGAAGAAGTTATTTCAAATGGTTGCTGAATAAAGAATGAATTCACTGCACATGTACAGGTCCGCTTTCTCCACAAGATGGCAGTAATGCTAAAGGAAGAACGTGTGTGTATTTCTGTGTTTTTTGCAGGAAATGTTCTGCTGCTGGTGGTTCTGGCTGTGCGGTTATCACAGACTGTACAGACCTACATGCTGCTCAGCGTCCTCGTACTGGAGCTCCTGATCGCTGTGCCCTGTCTGCTCTATTACACAGGTAAATTCATCCAAGATATTTCAATATTGAGTCATATGTTCACTCGAGGGTTGCAGATCTACTCTTCTTTAAAACAGCGGATATATACTTGGTTGACTTAAGTATGGATTTATTTTCTTTTTTACTGTATCTGTTGTCCTATGGTAAGATTGTACAGTATATACAAACCTCTGCACACATGTAGCCACATAAATAGGTACAGACAAAGCATGATTACAAAAAAAAAAAAAACAAAATAAAAAACAGAAAATTGGGTCTAAATATTGGTCCATAACTACGAGACTTTCCTTAGTTCTTTTCACATTTAATAGTTAGTGTTTTTTTTACTAAAACAATGCAGAAATGCAGCATAATTTCCCTGTGGTTGTGGGTGGGGGTTATATCCGTAGCGGAGAGGCACACCCTGTAGATTACATTACACACACACACAAACTCACACACTCATACACTCACTACCCCCCACTCTATCTGAGCAGATTCGCATCACAATACCTGCCCTGCCCTTTTCAGACTCGACAGCATGACAATAAGCCTTTCAGCTCTGTCTCTGTCCCTCTGTCCCTCACTCCCTCCAGTCAATTCAATTCAGTTTGGATTTATCGTCAGGAAAGTTTAGAGAAATAATCAAAATAAAAAAAGACTCAATATGAAATCTCTCCCTCTTCCTCCCTCTCTTTTTTCATCTTCTGAGCATGCAAACTTTAAAAAAAAAATCTATTCAACTATTGTCTTGTTATCTGTGCCTTTTGAGGGAAGGAACCAATTGGTTAAGTTTCAATTATTTCCATCTGACTCCACTGTGTTGATCACTTGCTTGAAATGGCTTAAAGCTGCAAAAACTCACCAGGGGATTCACACTCGGCCCACACGGTTTCACTTTACATAATGTGCCATGAAAGCGTCACATGATTTGAGAAAACAGGGAACTCCTGACCATTGGGAGAGCAAATGTGATTAATGTTCTCGAGCTTTCAAGCCTTTGTGCAGTCTAAAGTTTAGATTCAATGAAACAGTAGGAACATGTTGATTTGATTTGTACAACTAATTTAACTAATAGAGTAACCTTGTGAATGAAGTGCTGTTCCACTGTTCTGAATTGAGAGCGTAGACTCCCACAAATTAAAAACAGAAACACTGGAAAGTATCAAGACATACTGTTCCTTATAACACGCTGCTCACTATTGGAGATATTTATAACTACTGTAGCCCCAATTTTCTTCACACAGGTAAAATAGAACAGGGGAAATATCTCATTAAACCTTTGATTAAGTTGTGGTTGTCGATATCATCCATTGATATGTCTTGTTTTGGTTTAATATGCTTTGTCAGCATGGCTATAGACATTATGTTTTTAGTTGTTCCGACATTTTGCCAATCTTCTCACAAATTAAACACTTTGTAGCATCCGAGAACACCCTAGATTGTAGTTACCTCCCTTTCTGTAAAAATGGATAAAGTCCCTCTCTGTTTGTCTGTCCTTGAATTTTATCCACACCTCTTCGTCTGATCATTTTTTCACAGCTGTATTGCTAAGGAGTAGCAGTAGTACCTTTTTTTTCTAAGAGCATTTCTAGAGAAAGCTTCAAGCAGCAACACCACAGGAAAAGCAATCGTTTTCTTCAAATAGACATGTTTTTTATGTGAACTGTTCTTAGAAGATTCTATTGGCATGTTTGCAATGGGACTTTAAAATGATGTTTATCAAACCCAAATATATCTGTACCTCAAAGTTTTGGATAATTGTTTTGCTATGAGACAAAGTTAAACTGATGGTTTTGGTTTTAAATATTATAACCATCAGAGTAAGGCATCAAACATCTTTGCTTTAAAAAGCCCTACAGTGGTACATGTATATGTAATCGACAAATAAATAAATCTGCTTTAATGTGTATTTTAGGTTAAGTCCAATCATTTATTTTGTATCTGTATACCTTTTAACAGATCAACTTAACAGTCAATAAACAATAAGTATTTAGACATTTCTCTGTAATGTTGGTTGACGTCCATTATACCAGCCCTGCTCTCAGTAAAGGAACGCTTCTAATCAAGAAGTTGCATCACAGGATATTGATATATAAGAATCTGTATTGAAAGGAAATCCATATTAAAGGTGTGTTTGGCAGCTGAGGGGCACAGATTGAGGCTCCAGATACCAGAGAGGCAAGGAGAGAAGATAAGAGGCATTAGGATATAGCCTAGCCAAAGGGTAGACTTGGACCCCCTCCACCCAAACACAGGGACACACACACTTACACACACACACATTGTCCCCGTGTTTACAGTGAGGGGGATCCAGTGTGGGATGGGGGTATCTGTGTTCGCCGCCACATTCCTGCTCAGATCAGTGCAGCCAGGCACGACGCAATCCGAGCGACGCCTCGCAGCACAAACCTTTTTTAAGCATGCTCACACACACACACACACACACACACACACACACACACACACACACACACACACACACACACACACACACACACACTCTCTCAGACTTAACACCTCACACTCTCAGTGACCTCTTTGCTGTGTGTGTGTGTG